ATAAAAATCCATACTGCTTGTTGGTATCCTTATGCCAAGTTCTTAAATCTGGAGTAACCTGTTTTCAGGCTTTTTATTTTTGTGTTCCATGTGTTACAAGCTTTATTAAAATTTTACTCAGAATCCTATACAGATTTATTGGCACAAGCTGTATTTATTGACCTGGATAGTTTTTCATATCAATTTGATGCAAACTAGTGAATATGAAACACAGCTAGAACAATTTTAGGTGGATGAATGCTGTTCTGGAAGCATTCATTTTCGAAATAGTGAGAAGAAAAAGCCAAGGAGGTTTTGAAGATAATTTGCTTCATCTCTTTCACCTCTGCATGCTTTTTTACACACTCCTAAAGGCATGTGTTTAGTGAAGGCGATGCTAGGTTTTTCTTTCAAAGCAAAGACAGAATGACAGATCAGCAAATGTATATAACAACCTCTGACCTAATTCTGTAGGCACTGCTATTGTGAAAATAATTTACTTGGCGTGGGGACTGTCAGACATTTCTCAGGAATGGTGTTCTTAAGCGTCCCAATAAGACTGACATTAGATGAAAGTGTCCACCTTTTCCATGTCACATGCAGATAAAAAGATTCATTCGCGTCTGTATTTTAAAGACAAAAGGTTGAGCACAGGAGATGGGATTTCTTTCAGCTATACTTCAGCGCTTATATTAGCATGCATCAGCAGCCTTTATTCCTTGGCAGAGTTTCTCTAGCCAACACTCCTTAATAATTGAAATCTTTACATTAACTATGCTGATTCACATGTCCTGGTAGCTGCACAATTCAGATCAATACTTCTTGTAACTTGCGGTATGCTGGCGTTGCCAGTATTCCTATTTGAAGAGAAGTACTGCACAATTCACATGCTTGAGTTTCTGTAGATGTCTGCAGCTGCCTGTTGTCAGGTACAAGAGAGGACTTGACTGACCCTTGCACTGACCAGGTATGACTGCCCTGCTCCTGCCCTGCCTGGTCACAAGACTCTTCACTGGTTGAAAACAGTTGTGTTTGGGTTAGTTTTGGTTTTTTAACCTCTGCTCAGGAATTGACTTTTTCTAGTATACCAAATACTTTTGTTAGGCTTCACTGTGAGACTTAGAGTTGTTTGAAAATGGTTTTAGTGTTTGTTTCATGTGTTCTATCCATGGCTGCATGCATGTGTGTGCACGAAAGTGTACACTGAATCATAATCCTTGTAGTTCTTGGTGTTGGCATAAAATATTCTGCTTGGAGCTGTTGGAAAAGTGTTTCCCTGTTCCTGAAGTGCAGTGCTTTCCCCCTAGATGTACAAAGGTGCGATGGCCCATGTTGCACTGGTGCACGCAGATGTGAACAGTTCTGGGTTGTGCCAGGAGTAGGAGTTTGGGGAAACCCTGGCGGTGCTATCGGCAGGTTTTTGGCTAACAGATGTGGTTGCTCTCTGCTGCTTTTATCACCGAGTTAACTGAAGTTGCTAAGCTTTGGCAGTTTATCAGTAGCTTGCCTTGCAACTTAAAATTATGTTGTTCTTTAATGTAAAGCGGTGATCATGCAGAGCTTAAACAGTGAGAATGTTTTGTAGTTAGGTCTTTAAAAATGTACTATGTCGTGTTGTCTTGTGTGCCATAAACTAAGCTGTTTTAAGTTCCTTTTGTTTTAGATGTTGGAACCCTGCTTGCTCAAAACAGCTAGATTTTTAGTAAGCATTTCAGATGATGTTTAAAAAAGTCTAAAATAGATAAAACATCTGTTTTTAAAAGACAAGATCACAGAATAAAATAAATAGTTACAGAAATACCACTGATATGGAGGAGCAGAGCTAAAGAACCTAATCCATAGCAGAGCCTCTTCCTCTGTACAGCTGGGTACGTAACTGCTCCAGCATGTTCCTCTTCCTATGGCCTTCCCAGGCAGTAATCCTACTGGATCCAGGATGTGGTGTTTCTTACTTTAAATAATAAAGAGAGAGATACGTAGGGCTGGGCTCCAAGTAGTGTTACAGATATCTGAAAAATGATCTGTTCAGAAAGAAATACCTGTTTAAGAATGTAGCAAAACTTGTCTGTAACAAGCAGATCAAAGACTCTGTAAACACGTATTTATAAAAAAGGGTAAAGTGGGTCAGATGCATGACACAATTTTGAGATAAGCTGTTGATAAGCAACTGCTGCAAATATTTGTCTTTGACACAGTTGTATGAGGGTGGTTGATCCAGAAGGGAGCCTGGGGTTGCTCCGTGGTTGAGGTCTGAGCTGTGGCATCCCAGCTGGCCGTTCTCCGGAGAGCGCTGGCTGAGGGGTGCGTCGGGTAACGGCAGCAGCTTTTCAACATGTTCCTTAAAACGCGGAGGCAGTTGATGAACTGGAAAATCTTTCTACCTCATTATGGCTTGAGCAAGGACAAGTAAAAAAATTGTGCTTTCTGGGGTTGGGCTGAGATGGAAGGTGCAGTGAGAAAATTTCCTTTAACGTAGGAGGCAGGGGTGCTTATTTTCTTTTTCTTTCCGAATGAGTTGAACATGCATTCAGCTTACACGTGTTCCTTGCAGGGTCTCACAACCCGCAGAGAGGTTTGAGTGCCTTTGGGCTGGGTTTGCCCACAAATGACAAGCAGTGACAATCTATGTGGCAGGCAGCAACAGGGGGGCAGAACAGACAAAAACTGTGTGCCAGCTAGATACAGAGGATGCCATAGCAGCATTAATGGCTAAATGAAAAAGCAAAAATCCCAGCTCTACTGTTGCCTTGCAGCTGAAAACCTTTCCCTTGAGGCTGCAGGATGGTCATCTCAGCCTGTCCATAGGATTATGGAATAGTTGTTTCTGATTTTACCTCTTTTTCTACTTATGGAAAACAAACTTCAGCTCTCGGCTCATGTTCAGTTCCTGAAGTTTAGCTCTTGCAATCTAAATTAGACCTGCCCAGGGTGTTAGAGAGGTCAGTGCTCTTGGAGACTGCAGTGGAAACTTGTTCGGAGAGAACTGGAGAGAGCTGGAACAATGTCAGATTGTGCTGGGAAAAGCTGCTTCATGTGGGATGTCTTCAAGGAGCAATTACAAAAATAACACTTGCTGTCAGCCGATCGAGCAGAGCAGTGAGTGGATAATAAATATAAAAATCTGCTTTGTGTTCCAGCATCTCAAGATGTAAAGCTTTTCTATTAGAAGTTTGCATGGAGAACGGTAATTTAAAACAGCCACTCTTCCAGCTACATTTAAAACAGCTTGTAGTTACGTTTTAAATTTTAATGTTGATGAGTTGGAGATCTGTTTCTTTTAAAAAAAAGTATATATTTTTATAACCATAGAAAAACTTCTGGCCTGTCAGAAGGGTGTGCAGGCATCTAGATCTTGGTCTCCCTTTCTTATGGCTGCTTGATAGGGAAGGTGGTGCGATTCATGTACAGAACGTGTGTTTTAAGGCTACCTGCTGAAATCTGATTGAACTGAGAGGTGCTGTTCCAGGACTGACTGAGAACAAACACGAGCTTAGACACTACAGCTTTCCATGTTGTTTTCACATGTTTTGTGAAGTGAACTTTTTTCCTTAATTGGCAAATGACTTTTGAAATTGTTTCATATAAGCAGTTACGCCTTGCAGTAAATTTAAACTCTGTTTTAGTTCACTCAGCATTGTGTTCTTGCCTCGTGAACCATTGAATAGATCAATTTTTGACTAATCCTGTTTATCATCCTGAGGTTAGATTTGGCAAGCAACATCTGTAACCTGCCACCATGAAAAATTATTTCCAACATGTTCTTCATTAAACTTTTGTTCAATATTCAGCTGTTACTGGAGGATTACAGTTTTCTGCTGAAGAATTAAAAAAAAAAAAATTGCAATGAAAATTGGCTGTCAATAGTTCTGTATTAGAATCCCTTGAAATATCAAGGTATGCAGGTTGTTTTGATTTACATGTGTGACCATTTAGCAGTGCACTAATAGAAGATACCAGTTCTTTCCTTGCTAGCTTGCTGAATAGTATGCAACCCAAACTGACAACAGGACAGGATAGAAAGAATTTGTTCTTAAACATCAGTTGAATGAAAGTAGAACTGATGTTTCCCCTCTATTTCAGGGGATAGTTTCAGAAACAGTCGAGTTTCAGCTTGAAAAAACAGTGTGTCGTATTCATATACAATGCCTTTAATTCATATGGATCTTGGAAACTCTTAGTAGTATATCACACAAACTAGCTTAATTTCAGTATTGTATATCACTAAATGTAATCTGGCCATCAAGAGGCTATGTGCACTGACCCTGTGAAAGGTAAAACAGGAAAACAAAAAAATAACGTAGTATTCAGTTTAAGCTGCTGTGGAAATTTGAGCAAGCAGCATATTCTGAGTAATTAATTTTGGATAAAAGGCTAATCTGCCACCTACCTCTGTGGTTGCTGGAGAGAGGGTCTGCTCCCATTAGCGGCTCTAAGCCGGTCCTGATGCTGCAGTATGAAATGCTGTCTGGAAGGAACCCAAGGCCCTCTCCTTTAACTGCACAAGGAACCTCATAAGAGTGAATGCCTGTACCTGCAATTAATCTATATGATTACCTGCAATTAATTGTGCAATAAATTTGGCTGGTCTGTCAGCTTGTATCTTTTGCTGTGGGCCGTTAACAAAGAGATCAGGATTTAATTGCACAAATAACACAGAGGAGCTTGCGCCTACAAAAATCTATTTCTGTTGTTACCACCAAAGAGCAAAATTACAGAGAGGCAGTTTCAGGTTGGCTGGCTGTAAGTGTGCTTGAGAAGGAACACCGTAGTTTTGAGAGACAGTGTGTCCTTGATAAAAATTTTTAGTCTGCTCGATCAGAATAAAACATTCATGTTTCCATATCAGGAGGAAGCAGAGCATTTACAGCATTCAGTGACCTTAATATTTCAAAGTGTAGAAAAAGATATGGAAAATTAACTCTCAGTGTCTTTTCAGGAAGATGATAGCATCACAAATCCCTCCATGAAAGTCCCAGTTGCCCAGTGCTTCCTCTTCCAGCGGCCCGCGAGAGGAAAGGCAGATGACGGTAACGCTGTGGAGCGTAGGGTGCCATGACAGGAAAGCAGCCCAAGAGGAAAAGCCCTCTGGGGTACGCCCCTCGTACACCCAGGGACTTTGTGTGCCCTTTTCGTGCCACGGCGGCTGCCATCCTGGGCGCCGTCCGTGGGTCACGGCGGAGGTGAGGACCCGCGCCCCGCCATGGGAGGGCCCGGGCGCAGGCGGGGGCCCAGCTTTTGGAAGCAGCGCAGGCCTTCGTCTAAGAAACGTCTCCCGTAACGAACCGGGGCCGCATACCCAGACTGAATTTCAGCTTGGTTGTGCCCCTTCTCTGTCTGTTTCTCCCCAGGTTGTTGAATTTGTCAGCCTGGGCGGCACAGCAGGCCCCCGGCCGGCGGCTTCCCATGTGCCTGCTGCGGCGGTGTCGACCCCAGAGCTGTCGGGCTCTGGCGTGGCTGGGCGGCTGCGCCCGTGGGGACCCGGCTGGGCCGCAGCCGTGGTGCAAGCTCCGTGTCCCGGGTCGAACCGCACCGGCTGTGCTCCGTGCCTCTGCGTCAGACAGAGCCGGGGCCGCTGGTGGGGAAGGACGGTGCAGGAGTGGGAGGTGTGGGCGGCAGGACTGGGTGAACGAGGAGCATCTAGGGGCAAGGAAGGAGCCTGCTTTGGAGGTCAGAAATGGCACCACTGACCTGCCCAGCCTTCTCCAAACAGTGCCGGTCCTGCGATCGGCTGTCCCGGCAGCGTGCCCACGCCGCAGGCAGGCAGGCGGTGCTCCCGCAGCACCGCGGGCATGCACCTCTGGTGTCAGCTGCGGCCACGGGACCCTGGGAGATGCTGTCAGGGGACCCACCGGTGCAGCAGGACCCTGCAGTGGACGGCGTTGCTCCCTGTGGCAGTGGGGAGCCCTCTGCACCGCTGGGGTCTGCATAGTGCCATCCACGGAGGTGGGTGCGATGCGCTTGGCTCCTTCCCGTGCCCTGGCCGGGGTGCAGCTCTCCTCCAAAGAGTTCCCTCTACCTGTTCCTTCCTCCCCGGCACACTCCGATTTTTAATCGTGCTTCAGCACTCTCCATCTCGGGCACATGCCAAGTGCCCTGCATTCCCACCAGAAAATAAAAGAAGTAAGGCCTGCAACAGGGTGGGGGGATAAAAAAAAAATTTAAAAAGGCCAGAGTGACTTCAGAAAAAAGATATGTAGAGGAAAGGGAATGGCAAATGGCACTGGTTAATTGAAGCTGTCCTTGTACAGAGAATCAGTCTCCCTTTTCATCAAGCGGTAAGAGAAAAGAAAACTGCTTGATGCATGGCTTAATTCCTTGATCACAAGATGTATCTCCAAAACTCACAGCAAGAGAGGGAAGCCAGAGCAAATTCAGTCAAAGCAGAAGCCACATCCAGAGAAGAAAGACTTTGCTTGAAGATAATTTTCTTTGTAGTAAGAATTACCATTCCAAAACATTTGTTTTTTCAGTAATTGTTTCACATCACATTTTGACACTCTGTGTGTGTATGTGTGTATATATACACATATAAAAATAAATCAGAAAAAATAAGACTATTCATTTGTGCTATTTGTTCATATGCATGACATGGTAATAGTTTCTGTCATGCTGTTGTAGCTTGGGAGTGATCCACGGACAGGGTTTCCTGGAGAGGAGCCCTTACCTATGAAGAACTGGCACAGCTCCGCTGTCCTCCTGCACGCAGGTGACACACCTTGCCAGCCAGGAGACATTGCTAATTTAGATGTATTTTCAGGAAAACAGTTTGGGGCTTCCCTTTGTGTCTGGGGTGAATGGGGTTTTGTTCTAACATCAATGCCTGGCTGAAGTTTGTTTGTGAACATCTGGGAGCTCCAGGCGTGGGAGAATTGGTGCCTGTGCTTAAAACCTGCTGATAGCTGTTGCTCGTTTAGCTGTTGTCTGAGCGTGTGAACGTGGAGCTGTTTGTTTCACAGAGGTGGCTGAGTGAAGCGAACAGCAGACAGTGAAGTATATATAGAAATTAAACTTCAGTGCTGAGGCCATGTTAGTTTTTCACAAAGAAAAGTGTTCTGCTCAAGCGGCGCGAAGGGGCATTTCTTGTGTTGCATTTATGTTCCAGTTACAGTAACTGTCTGAACTGTTGTTGTAAGGGCTAATATTAAGTATAATTTTCTGTGAATACCATAGCTTCTGCAATGGAAATGTTTTACTGGACAGTGTACTTAACAAGTTATCATTTTACCTGCTATTAAAATCTTTTGCAGTATGAAAACCCCCAAGTTGTTTTAGGCTACAGCAATGCTTCTGAAAAGCTTAACAACTACCTACCTATCTCTGATACAGTAGGGGGAATGTGATCAGACAGCCATGTCCTGAGTTGAAACAAATATGCTTAATAGAAAACTTCAAATACAACAAGCATTTTGCATTTTTAAAGAATTTTTTCTTTGTTTATGTAGAAGTGTTTAAATTCTCTGTGAGAGTGAAATGCATTTAACCAACAATGTGTCTCTTCTCTCTTAGATTACAGAAGTTTGTGGAGCCAAGCGTGTGGGTTATTTTGGTCCCGCTCAATTTTATATTGCTTTGAAGTTAATTGCAGCAGCGCAGTCAGGGTTCCCAGTACGGATTGAGAGCATTAAGAATGGTAAGTAGCAAATTTTACTTGCAGTGCTATGCACTTGTTTCTCACTTTCTTTAATGCTTGTCGGCTCTCTGTGGTGGTAAACTTTTCTTCTAACCTGTCTATGAAACAGTTGTATTTTGAGGAGCAGAGAAAGAGTAGAAGGTAACGTTCCATTCGCTAAGTGACTGGTAGAAAATTGCGCTGAGTTACACGTGTGGCAAAGCTGAGATGACACCCCCCTCTGGAAAAGGCATTACCAAAGGAATGGCACGAGTGACAGCTGATCAGTGCTAGGGATGCGTTTCTCTCTCACCTTCAGCCTCTAATCTTGACAACTGCGCAGAGTGGGAGTTGCTTCGGGTGGAGGGATGTTGCAGGGGGCATGGGCAGGTCAGGGGTCCCTCTGTGCAGGGCAGCTTGCAACACTCATCTGTTTTAGCAGATAATCCTGAAATAAGTGGGTAATGGTGACTAAATCATAATGCTTCCTATCAGTAGGTATGAAAATGTGCAGTAGATGTAGCTTAAAACAGCTTTGTTCTTCCCAACGAATTGACAGTAATATTAAATGTACCATTTTTGGTGGAGAAAAATGCTTCTTAAAAGAGGCTTATCAAACTCAAGCAACGAAGAGAAAGCAGGTCCCTTTTAGCTGCAAAACCTTGATAACAACTAAACAGAAGGAACTTGATGTTTTTGCCTTGGTGATGCATGCTCTGTCTTGCTGATGCGTGCTCTGCCTCAGCAGGGCTCAGGCTTCGAAACACACAGCCTTTCGCTTGGGCTTGAGCCTGAGCAGGTTTGAACCCTTAGCTCCCACATCCCAGGTGGGCATTCGAACTGTGCCGTGAGGCTGTGCTCTGGGCAAGGGTGCTTGCCACCGTCCCGCTGAAGGCAGCGATGCAACCAGCCGTGAGATCAGAGAAGGAGGTAGGAAAGGCTGGATCTACCCATAGCCTCGCAATCGGGTCACTGCTCCCAGCACAGTTTCCACTCTGGTGTCCCTTCTAAGGGCACCGAAATGTAGAAGTCACCTATGTTACAAGGCACGGGGGGGTTCCCGGGTCTGCCCCATCCCGGGGCAAGGAAGCCGGGCTGGTGAGCACGGGCAGACCTGTGTGAGCTGAGCTCCCGTGGTGCAGAGCTCATGACCAAGTGGAGGGGATGGGATGCAGCTGGCACGGTTCAGTTTGGTGCCTCGCTGGCAGGGGGGTTTAAACCAGGGATGAAGCAGGGCAGCCTGGATTTGTCTGACAGTTTTCCTTACAGAGAGCTTGTGTGCTCTCTCTTGCATTGCTGTCCTTTTTAAGGATGTTAATTTGAAAAAAACCCCGAAAAACCCCAAACACCAAAACCCAACAAAACCCAGCAAACTAAATTAGAAACCTGAAATAAGTGAGATTTACTGTGGATGTTTTACAAGTCTAGCATCTGCAAATAATCCACAAATTTGAGCGAAGAAGGGTACTTGCAGTCCTTGTATTGATATCCTGCTTGCTTACTGTTACTGAAACACTTCCAGTGTTAATTACATTTTCTCTTGAAATTTATGAGTACCTTTAGAGTGAGGTGAGTAACATGCACCAAACTCCAACTGATTTCTTTTTATTCCTGGTAGTAGCTGTAGGTGTAAAAGATTACAGAGGTGATGTATGGTTTTGCTCAGTTTTGAGCATTCTGTTAATTTTAGTTGTATTGATCTTTCAGGGTGACTGTGCACAAAACTGCGACTGTGTTTCTTCAAAATAATCGTGAATTGTCTTAAAGAGTGAAAAAGTGTCACTCTTTTGCCCTGCAGAGCAGATGCAACATGGGACCTTTTGACATGGTCGTCTCCCCAGGCCTTGGTGTGATCTCTGAACCCTGCCATTTTTAATTTGTTCCTTTTATGATGGCAGTGTTGAGCATACTGTGATCCTGACTGATTAATTCATCAGTCCTACAGTTTCTCTGGGAAACTATTCTTTTCATTATAGACAATGTTTTGAAGGCAGGAAATGAGTTTGCCACTTGCTTTAATAACATGCACAAGGCTTATTTCTTTCTCTTTGCATGGAGAGATGATATATTAAGCTAGCCAATGTAGTTTTGTGTAACATTTCACATTTTTATTAAGACATAAAATAATCACGGGAGCTCCACATTTATAAATGTTACAAAATATAAATAGTAATCTTATAGGTGAACTTTTCATTGGTTTTACAAGATGATACTGCTTAAAGTACTCTTAATGTTCTGTAGTCTCAGTTGAGTTTTTCTCTCTTTTAATGAAGAATTGCCTCTGCCGCGGTTTATGGCGCTGAAAAATGACAGTGAAGTACGTTACGGGACTACAGCAGAACTCCATGGAGTTAAATTTCAGGTTCCACATGCAACTTTGGAAAAAAATTCCTACAAAAGAACAGATGAAGGGGACAAACAGGTAACAGGCCCGTCTCCTTCAGGCCAATATGTCATTATGCATCCTCCTTTTGGGTCCAGTCCTGTAAATGATTACACTCACGTGGCCTTACTCAGTTTTGCAGTACGAGACAGGAGATGGACTCCTGGCATGCAAATAATCCCCATCGGGGCCGTGCTTTGATTTTGATGCATCCCAGTTGCATCCCTGAAGGGAATTTCTCTATATAACCTTGTATAAAGCTGTCAGCCCTGTAATATTTTGTGTAAGTTCTTTCAGTGTTGTCCTCCTACTTAGTCCAGCACTGTTTCTTGGCGAGGACTAGGGGAGGAGCAGCAAACAGAAATCTGTCTGTGAAACAGGACAGGAAAGTGAGCGATTTCTCATGGCCAGTATGATCCTTAGTCACTACAGAAATATTCAATTGGAGAAGAGGTGTTGAATCACGAGCCACTATTTCTGTGTGGGATAAGGCCACCAGGTTTTCTTCCATTCTAATTTCCCCTAGGAGTAGTCTAGAAGAAACCTGCTTTTCTTTTGTCCTCAGCGAAACATCATCCCAGTGTCTTGTTCTGAGCTGCTGATTTAATAAAGCTGCCTAAGGGAGATTTGTATTTACCTGTATTTAGGAGAGTTGAGAGCACTTACTCAGATACAAGTTGCTTCACAGTGCGACCTTGATTTTCATAATTTTCCCCAGGCCTGACACCTTCTCTTCTGGGTATCGTATCAGGTCGTGTTGTAAATGCTTGGTGGCAGGTGCTTTATCTTCCCATAATGTGCACACACATTTATCACATGGTGTGCTGGCGTGAGTAAATGGCGTTCCCAGCCTGAGGTCAACCCAACAGGAATGAGCTGCTGATGACAAGGTACACGGCTGGAATAACAGGATGAGGAAGAAGAGCACGTATGTCTATGTGCCTGCGTGCACTGACACTGAAGCAGAATGCTGCCCTCAAACCCCTGGCTCCATCTAGGTTATCTATGGTGTGTTATGTTTTCCTTTTTACACAGTAAACTGTTTTAGGATCACATCCTCTTCTTAAACAATCTGTAAGTCAAGGTGAAGAGAATGCTGTAGGATAGATACCCAGTAACATCTACAAATCCACAGAGTGCTTAAAATACCAATTTGGAGATTTAGTTTAATTTTTTGTACATTTTATATGAAAAATGCTCTCCCACGAAGGATGCACTCACCCTAACTAAATGTGTTACGCAAATTCAAAGATACCCACTCAAATTAAGCATTCTACATATACTTCTTCAGGGATCTTTTGGAAGTAAAATACTTTAAGCTGTTCATTGTAAAGCTTTGCTATGCCATTGCCATGCTTTACCCCTAGAAGGCTCAATACCAAATTATGTCTTTACCAACTTTTGTTTTTTTAACAAGCATTTTCATGGAAATAAAGGGCCTCCGGGAACTACAGTGTTTGCCTTTTCTTTGTCCATCATGCTGTACGCATTCAGATTGCTGTGCAGGATTACTTGCTTTTTTTGCTGTTGTCTCAGAATTCCATTTTGTGTTGGTGTGTTTTCGAAATAGGAACCCAAGTCTCCACCGATGTCTCCAATCTGCTCACCTCCTGCTTCTCCATCTACTTACCAGAGAGTACCCTTAAGTTACGGATATGGTAAATCAAGAAGTGGGCTGGAGCAGCAGCATGGAGGTAGGATAAAAACTGGGATGTGCACACTGTATTAAATTCTTTTTGTTTTGTTTTTTATTTTTTTCTCAGAAGCATCCAAATTTCAAATGCAACTGACAGTCAGCCTAATGATTTTAACATTTAATTAGACCTGTATGTTGGAAAACGATTCAGTCATCTCATTTTGTTTTGATGGTTGAATCCTGTTCTCTTTCTGGTAAATTAGTTAGACTTATATGTCACTGCTCACAGATAAATGCTAATACCTAATCTCTGACAAGACTACGTGCAATATATCCCAGCGGCAGAGTGTTTGTGAGTATTTTCAGAGTGCATGATGCTTTTGATTTCATTAGAGGGGAAGAAAAGCCTGCTTCTGATTTCAGTAGTGGCTATATTAGTTTTCAGATTGGCAGTGAACCTTCCTTTGCAGGAAGGGATAGTAATCTCTGGTTTTGTAACAGAAATAATGATAGGACATGAATATAAAAACAGTGCCACACAGTAACTTAGGCAAAATGGACAAGAATAAGGCACTACATAGATGCTCTGTCTTTGATCACGCTGCCATTAGAGTAGGTGGCAAAACATTCTGATTTTAATGAGAGGGTAGTGGGGCAGAAGCCAGTTTTACTAAGGCTTTACAAGCTCCTGTTAATAGTGAAGTGCCTGTGCTCTCCTAATTGCAACATCTGGTGACGAGGAGGGTGGTAGTAGTAGGCATTGGTGTATACCATCCTTCCATCACCCCTCCGGCCTTCAGTTAGTGTGTTTGCAGTGAGCGAAGGGTGGAGCATGCTAGTCCTTCAGTTGTTGTCCTTGTTTACAAATGAGTGAAAAAACAGCTATTGCAATGTTTTGAAACTCACTACAGCCATAATAAGAATGTGTTCAACACAATCAAGTGGCCTTCACGTAAAAATTGTACTAGTACTGAGTCACAGGCATTCATTTGCCAGTTAGGTAAATTGCTGTTTGTTCAGAGATGGGATTTTTCCCCACCGCACCCTTGGTACAACTGATCAAAACAGTGCTGGTTGACTTCTGAAATAAGCAACACTAGCAAGGTCGTCTTTTGGTATGACACGTGTTCCACTCCAGCGAGGAAGACGTGGCAGATAGCCCTCACCCTGAAGAGCTGTCGGGAGCAGCTGACCGTGTTACATGTTGTGCGCTCTGCTGTTTTCTGGGACTCTGTCCCAGATCTGCCAGTGCTATGGGGGTGGATTTTGGGTTTTGGGGTTTTTTTTTTTTTCCTCCAAGTTTGGTTGCAGTCGTAACTTAAGTGAAATTTCTCTTGAAGTCAGCAGCTGTGCAAAGTGAGTAGAGGCAGCAGTGTCCAATCCAGCTGTCAACTTCTTCTAAAACTAATTATTCAACTGCTTGAATTTTTAAGGTGGTAAAATCCTAGAGGTGTAGAACACTATGGTTACTTTCCAGAAGGGGAATTTCTCCTGTTTTCCAGAATGGGAATCTCTCCTGTTTTAGTCCCACTGGGGATACTTCAGCCAAATGTGTTCTCAGTGGCAGCAAGCAGGTAACATTTTTCGGCCCATGCTGTACCAAGTGCCAGGCTAGGTGACCTACTGGTTCTTCCTGGCCTTTAAGATTAGGACCCTTCCAGTTTTCTGAAGAGCACTTGAAAGGGTGGGTCTGAAAGCCGCCGCGTTAGTGTGTGGGCAGGAGGTGCTAGCACCGCAGCACCGAGCTTGTGGGCTCTTCTGTGTACTGCAAGGCTGACCCTGGAACTGGACAGTGGGTCTTCAAGGGCAGCCCTTTGCACTGCAACCATGACTATATACTGGGGTTTTTTTTGATAGTTTTGGAAGTTTTTCTTGGTAGCAAACACATAGCAGAGTGGCCTTGTGCTTAAATCTCCTCTCCAAGTGTGTCTGTATGTTTCCCAACTTCCTGTGGGTTTTTTTTCTGAAATTAGAAGTTATTTGTACAGGCAGAAAAATAGATACCAATACAGGATAAGACCGCTCAGGAAAGCAAGGGAGTTAGGGTTATGAAGGCTAGGGTCTTCCTGAGCTCAAAATTTTTAAGATTTCTTGGTATCACTTTTCATCAAGAATCTTTTAAGTTCTGTCTATCTAATGCAGACTGTCTTTGTACTGGTACATTTTAAATAGGTTGGCAGCAGAAGTTTTCAACTCTGTAAGAGTTTGCAAGTGAGTTGCCTTTGTGTACTTGACCTATTTTTAAAACATTGTTCTTAAACGTACTGTTATGTCACCGCTTACTATATTTGCTGCAGTGGAACACAAGTGACTTATTTTAGCAAAAGAAGTAATTGTTACTTTTCTTTACTAACTTTACTCCAAATATTGCGAAGTGGTGAGTCATGTATTTTGATCTGATTTCAGAAATTAGGGAAGGGGGAAGAAGAGTATATGGAAAATTAGTGATTTACTGTTTGATGGCATTGTCAAAGCTTATTTTTTTTGCAGCTCAGTTGAATTATTCTTATTTGTAATGCGTTCTTGTGTTATATATGGCTATAAATATATAAAATGTATAAATATATAAACAGGCTATATATACATTTCAACATGATGAACAATGATCTATGTTATCTAGTAATATATGACACAGTTTCTTATCAGTAATGTCTGAAGAAGAATGATGTAATGTGAAAGACAAGTATGTGGCTGGAATTTTGTTGCAGAAGACAAAATGGATATTGATACTATGACACTAGGTTCACAAGCTAGATTCTTGACCCTGTGGTATTTAATTATTTCCTTTAGCCTAGTAGAATCTTTTTGATTATCCTTTCATTTATATACTTTATTTTAAATGTCTGTAGCACCTTATGAAGTCAGACACTCTGCTCACCAGCAAGATGGACCATCATCAGGGAATTATGCAACCAAACCTGCACTCACCTGTTCAACTCTTAATCGGGTAATGAATTGATGTTTTTCTTCAGTAGTACTACTAATAAAACATGAAACAGAAATAACAAAAAAAAACCAAAAAACAAAACCAAAACAAAAAAGGCAGAAGAATTCATATTTCAAAAGTAAAAAGTGTTCTCCATCACGTTTTTAGACTAGAGGCTGAAGCATGCTTTTCTAGTATATGAAAAAGAAAAAAACAAAGCTGATGGGAAGGGGAAATTAAAATAAATAAGCCAACTAATTAAATTGCTGAATCTAAGTAGAATGCACCAAATAGCACAGATAGGAAAACTAGACTGAGAATCTTCAGTTCAAAAGTAAAAAAAAAAAAATAATTGAGGTTATCATAGCAAAAGTAAAACATTTTCATTTAAAATATATGAGGTTGCACAGAGATTCCTGCTTGATTTAGAATGCCATCTGTAACACGTGCACAGAATTTATAGCCTAATATTCTGTGTATTCTGTTTTTTCACCCCAGTTGGTTAAATCGCATCTCAAACAGAATAAATGAATTTCTGGATATTTGTTTGCTTTTATGAGATGGGTCCTATGTTTTCCTGCTGGTTGCAAAAGCAGATCTTTCCGATGTTCCAGTATGCCTGCTGTGCACTGACTATGCAAATAGGTAGTTTGCCCTATGGAAGGACAAAGCTGTCCTAAGGGAGAGCTTTCCTTAAATAAGTAAGACTCAAAGACTCTGTACCTTTTCCCTAGAGCTTAGCACCCCACACCCATAATAAAATGTCACCTGAGCCTCAGGAAAAGATCTGCAGGTAGTGTCACGTAATTTGTGCTAACTTGAAGTGAAACTGGGTGCATTTGTGTAGCACTTTGAAATGAAAATTAATTTACAGCTTTATGATGTTGCCTGTTTTGGGGATCTTTTGATGTATTTCAGAACTGGTGTTTTGCATTTGATTCTTAGGAAGTGGACAGGTATGTCAGAGAAAGGGTTGTGGAGCTTGTTGGAGCCTGGTTATTGTTCACTCTTGCCCTCCCTCTTCAAGAGTGTCGTCATCCAGGCCTAAATCTTGAATACTAAGTCATTCCAGTTTAACAAAGGCAGTAATTGTACCAGCAGCCCTCTTCTAGACACCACTACCCAACCTACCAAACATACAGACTTCCCTTAAACAAGTCAATCAGAAAGCAAAGACATAAATGGATAAAATGTCCTTCTCCTCCAGAATATTCTTTTTCCCAAAGTAGGATTTTTACCTAAACCATGGGAAGTGACAGAAGGTTGAGGAGGTCTCGAAGGGTTTGCATGTCTCCCCAGCTCAGTGTAATGTGTGCCGAGCTACCCGGGTGAGCGGAGGGTCCAGAAGCGGTATAGCTCTGTAGTTACAGCACCACTCCTAGACTAAATACATAGTTTCTTAGCAAAGCTAAATTTTCATGCACTGTGCTGCTTAAATACAGCTTTAGCTCCTTTACTGGTTCCATCCGTTCCAGGTGTACAGTATGCAGTTCAGGGTTGTAATGGCAGCCAAAATGAACCCCCAAAATGAATACAGAGGTAATAAAGTATGAATTGGGCTTTCCTTTTTCTTTTAGCTTTCGTCATGTAAAGCTTCCTTTAATTGCCTGGGTAAAGATACCTAATACTAGCCTTAGCTTTAACAGTTAAGTAGTGGGATGGTAATCAGCGTGGCTATTTCTGCTTCTCATCTCTTTTAAAATATGCGTCTGCTAAGAGAAGAGAGTCAATCTGGTTTCTTGAGGTTCCCAGTGACCTTCTGGCCCCCTGCCTGCAGCTGGTACCAGTGTCCCTCCTTTCAGTCTCTTTCAGCGGAGCGGGAGCAACAGGACAGCAGCACCAGCTACTCGGATGACCCTTGGAGGATAACAGAGGAGCAGCGAGACTACTACATCAACCAGTTTAGGTCCCTGCAGCCCGACCTGAACTCCTTTATTTCAGGTAATTTTTACCAGACACTGTGCGTGTTGAGTAGAGGGACCAGGCTGAGCAGTGAGAAGTGCTAAGTAGTTAAATTCTTTTTTCTCCCTGGAGTGAGTTTATGAGAGAGTTGATAGGCTTTTCTTTTTAAAGGCAGACAACTCAAAAAGCAAACCAATTCTGTGGCCATTATGTTTTTTCCTAAATAGCCTGATTTTAGAAAAACAATTACATCTAAGGGAGAAATGTTGGTGATTCAGTAAAAAATAGAATGAGCTCTCTGTGTTTGATTGACTATATTTGTGGCTCACACCTGCAGTGTATATTGAGCTGAGAAATCCCTTAGGGTTGTGCTTGCTTTCCCAGCAGAAATGTGCCAGCGTCCACGTGATGAAAGTGATGCATGCAGTTAACTGGCCTGTGTGGTCAAGCCTCGGTGTTTATGGCTCTGAGGGACTGAGGTTTTGACCTTTAGGTGATTAAAAGCAAACCCTGGAGAGCACGCACACAGTAAAAGTATTGTTAGCAGCGTATTGAGATTGCATTTCCATCCCGAATAGGAGGATCAGGCTGCTGGTGAGAGGAGTCACTGCGGGTACAGACAATTGGTCTGGCAAGGAAGATGTCACAGGTTTCAAACTGAGGCAGTTCTACTGAGCCCTGCTGTATTACTGGGGTTCAGGAGGCTCGGATCCAGCCAAAATAAATAAATTACGCACTGCTGACAGAAATTAGTGCTTCACCAGTTCTTTGCCTCAGTTAGGTCTCCTTTTTAGAATTTGCTTGAAAGAGAAAATAGTTGTTCAACAACTTTGTATTTCCTCACAGACTTACATATGTCTGTAACTGGGTATGCATGTGTATACGCATACAGAGCCTCTCGGGTAGCTGTGTGTTTTCCTTTATGTTAAGCAAGATTCTCAGGCAGTCCCTGCACATCCAGAATTACTGTTTATAAATTATAAATCTGAGCTTCTACAACATCCTGAAATAATTAAGCTGTAGAAATCCTTGCTGCAGGGTGATACAGATGCTAGAGGTTTGTCCAGGTTTAAGACGTTATTTGAGAAATCTGTGACTGAAAAATCTGTCAGAAGTTACTGAATATTTAAATGTTACCTCTGGTTGAGAAAGTTCCTGAATTGCAGGTGCTCAGAGGTTGGGGGGTATTCTGGAGCTGCATTATTATTGTGTGGCTTTGTCATGGTCACATATTCCTCTCTTGGCATCCAGTGTTGGGGAGGATGTGCTGTGCTAGGTGAGTCTTGGACCTGCCCCAGTGCCAGCTTTTCTTATGTACTGCAGTAGGTAATAGGACCTGAATGCCCAAGGGGAAGAGGGATATAGACCTAGAAATCTGTGCTTTATGTTGCCTTACGTTTTGTAAGCCTGTATCCAGGGAGGGCTTACAGGGTACTGCTCATAGCCCATGATATGGGATGGTGAAGAAGTGGATTTGTTATCTAGGAGAAGAATGAGAAGGGCTGTTGTGGCAGGGTGACTGAGGATGCCTGCAACAGGACAGTAGCTGTGGGCTATCTGAATCTCCTAGGTTTTGGGTTTCGTTTTTTGTTTGGGGGTTTTGGGGTTTTTTGTTTGTTTGTTTGGGGGTTTTTTGGTTGTTGTGGGTTTTTTTTGGTTTTTTTTTTTTTTTTCATAAAAATTGAGCCACTGGAGGGAAAAGTCATGGTTGAAGCAGCGTCTTGGGAGAGCAGTGCAGACACTACGGCACTGTACCGCCACACACATGGCGCCTGGGTGAAGCAGAGCCGTTGTGTCCATTATTTCATCATTGCTGACATACTCATTATGCTGGTTAGAATCAGTAGTACTAAAGTGTGTTTTCCTTTATTTATTTTTCCCATATGGAGGGAATGGGGAAATGAGGTCAACAGCTCTGTCTGGCTTTCTCTGTCACTTATTCAGCAAGAGACAAATAGTCCAACAGCTATATTTGCATCCAGTTAATCTGAGCATCTCTCGGATGTAAAGTAACCAACTGCTTCTGGCATGGCAGCCCTGGCCAAAGGTAAATAATTGGAGAATTAATTTCCAGTGGTTGATAAGGCATGGTTTCCCAACAGGTTCCGTGGCAAAGAATTTCTTCACAAAATCAAAGCTGCCCATCCCAGAGCTTTCTCACATCTGGTAAGTACTGTAATAGTGTTGGGGATGTGTATCCTGTTTTTTTGAAAAGATGCTTAATTCAAGAGTTCTTGTTAAATTTTGGAAAGTGTCTTCAATTACAATTATTACTCTTATCTCCAGAATCACTTTCAGGCCCCAGCAGCAGGGTACTCATTGATCTTCCTGACACGTTTGTTTTCTGGAGAGATGTTCACCTACTCAGCAGGACTGGGAAGGTTTGAACAGTGATATAACTGAGAGCAGTTCTAAGTATATTGTAAGCAGCATCCGTAGCTCAAACTGACATTTTTCATGAAATGATACAGAGAAGAAGCACCTCTGGAATGTTTTAGATGTGTTGTTCGTTTTATGTTTCTGGCTGTGTTTTGTCAAAGGAGGCCTAATTAATGCCTAATTTTTAGAAAGTACAACTACATAATTAATCAGTGCTTTTCTAATGAACCAGTACACTTAATGAGCTTATTTAGAAACGATTGCGGATGGAACTGTACATGATAAAATTTGACAAGGATTGTATTATATTTTCATAAACAACATGGTGCTTTGTAATTCAGTGTCATCCTTGCATCTCAGACAGGAGGAACAAACAGTTTTAAATGTTGATCAGAAATGCTGATAGAGATTTTACTTTTATATATGCTTTTATGAAGGGAGATGAGAAGAAAAGCTTGCAAGAGCCTGAACATCTGTCGGGGTCAAAGAATATGTCTGGAATCTTTTCAAAGCGGATTGTCAGTTGTGAAAAGAAAAAAACAATTGAAGAAACACAGTGTTGGGGGAAGTGAATATTGGAATCTAAATTTAAGATTGCTTAAGAAGAATGGATTAATCCAATATGTTAACAAAACACATTTTATTTCTATTGTTGACACAAGTTGTTCTCTGTGCAAAATTTAAAGAGTATTCCTTTCTAGTAGATAATTATAATTTTGTGACGATGTGATTTATCAGGTTGTGTCGCTGTGTTAAACACATGGAATGTTTCATTCTTTGTCACTATAACCTTAACAGCTTGAAAAATTCTCATTACTTTCAATGAGGAGGAAGTTACATCTTTATTTGTTTTAGTCCATGTGCTCATGATAAAATATTAGTCAGTTCTTGCAAAGAGTTAATTTATAAAATTGAATTCTTGAATTTCTGAAGTTCAGTTTTAGTGTTTGAGAAGAATCCTAGAATTAAATAGAGATCCGCTTTAGTGAGAAGTTAACAATATCATTTAAACTTGTCAAGAGCATTAATTTAGCTCTTTTCTTGAGGCTAGTCAATGGTGCTAAGTAACCAATGCTGAAGTCCATTTTTAACTTTTTCTGCTTGAACTAGTTTAAGATCCTGCATGGATTGGCCAAAAGTGCTTCCAACCATGGGAAGGTTAATTTCAGCCTTGGAAGTACAGGATATGTATTTCATGTTATAATATATATGTATCATCGTATTGTATGGTATGATGCATAACAAAAAAAAAAGTACTTTATTAAAAAAGAAAAAAGTGACAAGTCAGTATTAGAAAATTAGCTTGCTTCACCTTCCCCGAGACAAATGTGCAAGTTAGGATCAAGTGCAAATGACAGAGACGCTTGTCTTGTATTAAAATAACCCTTCTCAAAGTTGCATTTCTGTCTCCCCTGTGATTGCACCCATATGTTTCCCTGAGGTAATGGCTTGGAAAATGTGTGCCTGTCATACCTGCAGGGAGCTGTGTGACGTGGATTGCGACGGGGCGCTGACACTCCCAGAGTTTTGTGCCGCTTTCCACCTCGTGGTTGCGAGGAAGAATGGTTACCAGCTGCCGGAGACGCTGCCGGAGACACTGCTGCCTGAGTACCTTCAAGCAGGTAACATCCCTGCGGCAGGTCGTGTTCCTGTAGCCACCTGCCTCAGGTACCCAACGTGTGTGTAGGACAGGTTGTTTCATTTTCCATCCTGCAGGTAGGGCAGGGTTCTATGCTGCATAGTGACTCTCCAGTTGCTTTTTAATGTGTGTGGTTTTAATTGTGCTTACGAGGCGATTGCTGAAGAAGGAATGTATAAAAGCACAAAATAGTGATGCAAAGTGTAGCAGTTACTTGCCTCTTAATGTCTGCCTCTTGGCTCCAGTGTGCTTCAGGTGTCATTATAGCTGAAGTGGCAGATGATTACCTGTAGCAAAGATAATTCAACAAGACTTATATGGCTTTTAACTCTTTTAATGATTTTTCCCTGAAGGGTCTCTCTCTTGAAGATGTGTTGAAAACAATACTGGACTGCTTTAGAACTTACTGTGCTAATATATTTTGTTAGATGCAGTATCAAAGCTTGAATTTTTTTGTAATTCATTTTATGTAATCCACAGATTCTTCTGTAAGTAATTTGCAGTAATGACAGGGGGATTACAACAGTTTGTGTAGCACGAGGATGAATTAATCCAAAATATAACATATCTCAGTAACAATGTGCAGTGAGAGACGTGCCCTTTCATTTGTTCTCTTCACTTATGTCTCTTTTAATTATAAATTAACATTGAAATATATACTGTTCCATCTAAAAAATGTGCATGACTTTCTAGGGCAAGGAGGATTAATCATAGATGATAATTACAGTGCTAAGGGATAATATTTAAGACCTAATAAAATCTCCATTAAATTTGATGACACTGAATATATTAAAAGACAGGAAAAGAGCAAATCAAGCTGGAGTTAAGAAAATTAAATGTTCACCCTGTATCAGATTTGTGAAGTAATTTCTGGTGGAGTCATGTTCCTTATAATCCACTATCTTCATATCCAAAGCAAGAAGCTCCTGTAAAACCTGCACTTCCAAGTCTTCATCACTTTTAGTCTCTCTAATTACATTCCCTTGTCATAATTACAACTACCCTTTTCCCTCAAGGACCACCACTTCGTTCATTACTCTCATGCCTGTTCTCATGAAAATTAGCTTGTCAGCTCCCCCATGCAGGTTCTTGTTGGTGTGTCTTCACATTAAGCCTTTTTGGTTAAAACTCTACTAGTAGGGAATCATTATGCCAATGGGAGGAAGAGCATGGTAAGCTGTGGTTGTTCCCTGGGAGTCCTTTTTTTCCCTAATTTGTCCCTTTCAGCACTGTGGTCTTTACCATTTTCTTAGATGATTATTGTTTCGTGGTGTTGCACGCAACCAAGCATTCCAAGCTGATCTATGTGGAAGAGGTGAAAGGGCTAATTGTTTGTTGTGGGCACTCTAAATACCTCAGCTAATATGCTAATTCTGGTTAGCTTGAGGGTCTGAAACTGTCTTGCGCTCATTCTGCTGCTTAGTCAGGATTCAGAAATCTGTCTTTTGAAAGACTTCCATTAATAAAAAACAGAACATCTCAACACACTGTAACACCGTGAATCACAAGAAAGCATAGAGCCCTGGTTGTATGAACTTCTGAAATGAAAGCATTGATAAGTACGCAAGTGCCTCATACACTTACCTAAATGTCAAAAGAAATTGCCAGGAGAAACTTTCTGTTTTCATAATTTGATTTCTGTGAAATGTAGGTTTTTTGCGGGGGGGGGGCTTGTTAGGAACCCGATGAAGATTACTGGAAACTGTTTTTCATTAGGTTTTTGTATTTGTTCCAGAATGAGGCAGAATTTGGTTCAAGTGAAATACTTGCATCTGATAAGAGTGTTAAAGCTTCAAATAAAGTGACTTGGAGTGCAAGACAGAACATTTAAGAATTAATTGATCTTGCTAGCTTTATGGCTTGTTCTGTAAACTACAAGCGCAGGTCCAAATGCTATCCTGGCACAGCTCCATTGACAATTTGACCCACCACCTTCTTTTCTGGAAGTTTTTATTAAAACTAATTTACAGAATCTATAAAACTATTTGCCCTGTACGTAACCCACTGTACTGTACATTAAGACAGATTTGCAAGAGCTTAATTTGTTCAGAAAAACTAGATGTTAGTCAGAAACTAGAAATTTGATGTGAGAACTGGTTATTCTGCCTTTCAGTATATTGATCTTGAAGAAAAGCTGTTTTCCAGCTGTTAAGACAGATTTATCTCAGAGGAACTAATCCCAGAGTGATATCAGCAGAAGGACCTGAGCTTGTGGAATAGAAATGAGGTTCTTGTGAATATTCCTGTGAGAAGTTAGAGTTGATTTTTTTTTTTTTCCTTCCCTGCTCTCAATGCTGTTTAGTTAAAGATGGTATATACTGCAGCATCTACTGTGTTTAGTGTCCTTGCTTTTTGCTGCCCTTCAATTTTAAGGTATAACGTAGGTTCTGCTATACTTTTCAGTATTCAAAATGTCAAAAATTGGAGTTGAAGGTTTGGTAAGTACCTTTAACATTCCTAAGATGGCAAGATATAAACTATAATGTCAACTAAGTTGATACTGGACTGTGAGGAGGAAAAACGCAAACAAATAGTTGTTGTTTGGCAGTTAATGTTTACTAAGGATCACTTCTCCCAAATTTCACAATTATTTGTACAACAGAAATTATACATGCTATCCCTTGCATGACATTGACTTACTCAAAATACAAGATAGGCAGATTTTCTTCATGGTGTTTGTCATCCATGGCTTCTGATATGTAGAAATGAAGGTTAAAATGGTGCTGGAGCAGGTTTTTAAGAAGTGTGTATTAACCGAAGATTTGGCATGTCTTGCTTGGGTTTTTTTTCTTTCTTTTTCTTTCCCCTGCAGCTTCTTTGAAGCCCATGCGTGACTGCGCACTGTTTGATTCTTATTCTGAGTCGTTGCCAGGTGGTCAGCACACTCGGGACTTCAGTCGGACGGAGGTGAGAAGGCGTAAGCAGGGTAGTTACCTTGCAGAGTGCAGAGGAATAGGACAGCTTCACAATGGCTGTGGTATGCGTAGCAGCAGAACCGCGAGTCTGAGAGGACTTTAGAAGTCTCTAAGCTTGCCATTAAGCCATCTCAAACTTCTCTCTCAGCAATTTCTTCAGTGTGTGGAAAGGGCTGACAGGCTTTTCAAAAGATATTCCTGCATAACAGAGTTCACAGTAGTCATTGAGGGACTCCAGCCTCGTGCGATGCTGGAGTCTGCAGAGAAATACCCCTTACCTGTTTGTGTCCCATGGGGCTGCATTTGGCCCTCGGGCGTTGGGAGCAGGCGATGAGGGGCAGAGCCCATGCTGCAGGAGGGGTGGTGGCACAAGGACTGTGCTCAGGTGAAGTATCTCCTGAATGTGAATTGGTCAAAAATGTGAGACTTCAGGCACAGACCTTGTTATCGTCAGGCACTCCTGACTGTGTAGCTCTTGAGTGTTTCTTCCATTTACAGTGCTCCATTTCCACACTTGCTCCCCCAGTTTTGATGATGAGAAGAAAAATATCTTGGCTTGTCTTGATTCCTTGTACTTTGCTTCTTTGGAGGCTGAAACTATCCAAGATTTTGTACAGTATGGACATGCATAGTTCTGTTCTAAGTGATTCAGTCTCCATTTTAATATCCAGCCTTTTCATAGTCTAAGCAACTACCATCTAAGGGTCTAGGTAGTAACTGTAAGGAGCTGGGAAGAGTGTTTTGAGGGAAGAATGGAGATCCATTGTAGCATATCACAACAGATGCCAGCCTTGTAATGGAAGACTGTTGCAAGCAAAACTCAATTAAGGAGAAGAGTGTATCAATGATGTTAAAAAATGAAACTTTAAAGATCCTGTAAAGCTGAACTAACCATGGCCACCGAGTTGTGCCTGGATATTGCAACTCTGAATATATATGCTGTGGGATTTAAGGGTTTAATATTTAAGATAGTAAATCATATGGCAGACTGACTGCAGGAATGGGCCCTTCTGACGCTGCTTCCAAGTTAAAAAGTAATGGTATGTCATGGCAGCTCAGCAAGGCTGTTCTCCAGTTGTTTGCTCCCTGTGCCTTGCTCTGGGGAGTTCCTGGGTCAGAACCCAGCTGTTCCCTCATCAAATTCAGCTTGGTAGTGGTACCACCAAACGGGCTTTCCTGAGCTGCTATGGAGTGCAGTGTTCACTTTGGGCAATGCTGCAGCCAGCGCTTTGAGATTCCAGTTTATCTTCTGGAACTGTTAAAATATATGTGGTCTCCCTAGGTGGTATTGCTCTTTGTACAGCAGCTTCGGCAGAGTACAGCCACACTGGGTTTTGAAAGCAGCGCCGCTGTTCTGGTAGTGCAGGCTGCTGGTACGCTGGCAGCGTGGGCAGGTCCTTTACTGCAGCGGAACAGCCTTGTCCCTTGCATATGACCTTATTTTGGGAGGGTGGTTCACAGGGGGCTGCAAGATTGTGCCACAGGCCATGCTGCACTAGCACTTCTTCACTGTGCTGTTGTGTGGCAAAGCTCAACAGTCCCTTGAGAGTGTGCCTCATTAGCATAGATGCATATTGGTTTGCAATTTAAACAAGTGTAAGAGGCAAAATTCAAAGCGATTTGCATTGAAAACTCATTTGCTGATGTCAGCATGTGTCTGTATGTATATACATAACTCCATTTCCAGACTGCAGTAAGAGTCAACTGAGTATTTGAGTTAACTCACTGCATCAGCTAAAGATACTCGGTTTTGGAGTGAGTTATTTGTCTTCTGCTTAGAAACTGTCACATCCCTGTTTGGATGGGATTTTTTGTCAGTAGGCAAGACTCAGCTTCTCTTTTTCACTTGCATTTTCATGTGCATATACAAATACACAAGCTTATATAAAAAAAGATACAGATATAGTACATAATTAAATTATATTAAAATATAAATAAACATACAATGATGTATCTTTTATACACATAATTAAAAAGCTTCAGTTTATGTAACTTCTTGACTTCAGGATCTACTTCAGTATTCTCTGTGGCCTAGGGAGTCCTTGGTTTTGTTAGCATACGGCTTCACAAGTGATTACCCAGATAAGCAAAGTGGTCTTTGGTTATTGCAGAGTTGTGAGGAAGTTTGCTCTTTAGTAGTGCAGCCTTTGGGACTGTGAGATTAGAAAGTTCTTTTATATCTTTCAGAAAGCTCAGAAATCTTGCTTTCAGAGTCATCTTGTCTTTCTTGGAAATAAAATGTCATTTCAGTAACCTAACCAATACAATTTTATAATCTTATTAAGTGTCTGTTTTTTAGGCTCTTCTTGTTTGTGGTCCTCGAATGTATGTGCAGAGTAAGGATAAATCTAGAAGGAGATGACTTCCTAAGCAATTAAATTGTATGGTTTTTTGCTTTTTAGATTTTTCTGCTGCAGTGGAGACGATAATAGTAGGAATATTATAGTAATAATTAAATAGCTGTAGAGGGTATACAGCACAAAATGTAAAAAACCCAAACAAACAAGAAATCCCCCATTTTGTGTTTAATATTTACTTCGATTTTCAGCAGTTAAGCTTTCAGACCTCCTCTGCCTTATCTCTGTGCTCTCCTCCTGAGAGATTCTCACCATAACTGCCACTAACTTGCAGATTACTGTGCTGCCTTTGTAGTCAGATAATGTTCTTGGGGAACAGCTGGGTCTTCTGCTCCATTCCTAGGTTCTGCAAGGTGGCAGGATGTTCTGCAAAATCAGAGGGTTTTTTATGGCTAGGATGAAAATGAAGAAGAATCTGTAGCATGATTGCCTGCTGGCTAAGCACAGATAGTGTTTCCTGACTATATCACAATTGTTGACTGGTTTTGCTCCATTTCTTCACTGTCTGGGTCCTAGACATGCAGGGCAAAGCTCTCAGTTTGTTTCAGGGCCTTGTTATTTTGGTCCTTTGTTATCCAAAATTAATGAACTATAAAATCTCTTCTCAAAACTGGTTTGAGAATGATTTTGACTTGATTTTTTTTTTGTTCAACTGATGTTTTTATGTTCAGAATTAATACACTGAATGAGTATCATTTGGAAGGTCAGTGATTCATCTCCCATTCATCTCCCTCTGTGGGAAATGCAGTAATTCACTGTTGCAATTTAATTTGTAGCTTGGTTACTTGAGGAAATATAGTTTAGATACTTGATCACTAAATTAAAAATATTATATTATCAATGCAATCAGTTATGCATTACCTCCATGTCTTTGTCTCTTCCCAGCTATCATCCATTCAGGCTATTTAATTTATTAATTTCGGAAGACTATTTTTACTGTGACTGCTGAACTACAGTACTGCAGTACAATGGAAACAGTTCCTGAATACATCCATATAGAAAATAATGGCAGGTGACAGGTCACCTGAATGCTAGGCTTTGTTAAACTTATGAAACACAGAAAGACTGCTAATGTTATGCTCAAGAATGACAAGGGTGACTGCTTTTTTTTAACCACGGAGGTTTTGTCTTCCTATTTTTCTTCTCAAGTTTTTGTCTCCCACTCTGGTTCTGGTCTTTTTTTTTTTTTTTTTTTCTTTTTCTTTTTTTTTTTTCATTCCTTTGGCTCTTTTCCACAAGCTTTCTCACTGCCAAAAGCTTAAAGATAAAACACAAGATTTCACACTATATGCATAAAATGACTGGCTGGGGTTGCTCTAAACGCCCTCAGAAATGTGCTCACAGTTCATTGAGATTTGTGAGAGTCATTCCATCAATTCAAGCATGCACTGAATTAGGTCTTTAGTCTGATGCTCTTTACTTTAGAGAGTCAGGGCTAGCTAGGGATGTGAAGTTTTTGTACAAATGTTTTCAGAAGCCAATCCTCAAGCCATGTTTTTGCTATGTTGCTTCCTCAGAAGCATTAGGGAATCCCACATGCAATTTCATAAAACAGATCTGATAGCCCTTTACTCTGGACTTGGCCTTCTTGAATTACTGACTTGAGATTTTGTTGTTGTGGGGTTTTTTTGTTTTGGTTTTTTTTTTCTTTAAATATCTGCAAAATCTGTGTTTCTGAAGTAATTTTTTTTAGGCCCAATGGATTTCAGGCCATTTTTAGGCCTAACCTCTTCCATGCTCCCTGGGAAAAACCAGCAGCACTTAATATTTAGGGAAGCTTAGGGATTCTGACGTTTGCTTTATTGTTTTGGCTTCAGAGTATATCCTTGTTCTTGCAGATTCTGGTAGTAGAATTTGTTCCTCGTTTCTTCTTGTGAGCTACACAGCAGAAGTTACAACAAATGCCTGTATTGTAAATTGCTGCTGAAATAAAGAAAAGTTAAGGAATAAGGCTGGGGAGAAGTTCCCTGTTTTCCCATCAGAAGCCTGAATGGGCCTCCAGCAGGCATGCTGATGAAGTTTGTTTTCCCATCTCAGTGACTGCATGTTCAAAGAAAAGAGTAGTCCAAGGATCAGCCACCTCAGCCAGAAGACTTTAGATGCAGAACTACTGGGCTCTGGAGTATGGCTTGAGTTTTGGCTAGAGAGTCTGTTCTGATGGAGACTGTAACTCTGGTGAAGGGACTGGAGAAGGTTTCCTCAACCCTAACACAGGTGTTACACCCACAGAGAGAAGAAAACACAGAATATCATTGCCATGTTGTGAGAAGTCTCCCCTTGCATATAGTCCTTAGTTTCTTGTCAGTCACTGTTGAAGTGCTTCGCAAATTAATTTCAGGTGTGGAACTGCTGTACCTTGAAAAGCAGAGTTACAGTTGTCTTTTTGAAGGTCCTCTATGCTCCTTTATTTTACAGAACAAATCATGGTGCAAGAGAGAATATCACCTTTATTTGTGTTGATCTGTATTCTTAAATATTTGACTGTAGAAATGTGGGTGCTATGCCAATCAGTATAATAAATACATCTTTCTTTAAGAAGGCGTCAGCTGAAGAGATACCTGATAATTCTGCCCTGTTACAAGATGCAAAGAAAGATGACAAACAAGGTATTCAAATCACTTCCCCCCCCCACCTCCGTTATGGGTTAAGTTCTGTGTGTTATTAGTAATTCCATGTATTTGCTGACAGAAGCAATGTTATTTTTAATTTCTAAGCTGCCTATGTGTTGTTATAGATTTAAAAGCAAGACATTTCTTTTAAATCATTGACAGCAGCTGAGTTGAAGACAAATAAATGGATGTGTTTGCTTCAAAATTAGTTCTATCATGTGAATGGTATGAAATGCACCTTCCAAAATAAGTGTAGTCCTAAGGTAATTAATGTTGCACTTCTTAGTCTAATAATGTTATAATTGTTGTTATGAGGAATTTTTTAAGAGTAAAGACTACACTGTGCCAAATCTTGGATTTCCCTTTTTGCAGGAAATAGCAATACTTCAAAATTAGCTTTTATTCTTATTTAAAAAAAAGTCCCTATATTTTTTTGCGAAACAAAAGTTTTGGACAAACTGGATTGAAAATACTTGATTCATTTATTTCACTTGAAATCTGTCAGCAGCAAGCCATGTTAAATTGAAGTGATCTTTTTCTTTTTCCATTCAGCAGCTACTAGGGCTTCCAGAATCAGTGCTGGATCATCACAGTCATTCCCTTTTAGATGCGCTTTCCATGATCTTTCAGGTTCTCGCTTGCTGTCCCTGTCCCTCAGCTGTGGAAACAAAACAGTTGTGGGTATTTTGTTGCCTTATTCTCAGAGCTGTGGATTATACTTTAATTTAAAAAAATTACAAATTTTGACCTCCCAGCTTGTCCACATGCTGAGGTTGCATCAGAGCTGTGAGATCAGGTAGTCCACATTCCTGAATCACCTTCCACACTCAGGTGTGACTGAGTTTGGCAGATTCCCAGTGTCCCTCATTCAAAGAAAGGTTGTCAGAGTTGATAGCAGTTTGTAAAACATTTTGACAAGTCAGCATAGTCCAAGAAATTCATGTTTTATTGACAAGGTTTGTTTTGTTGTAAAATTCATAATGGAAAAGAGCAGACTTCAACCTTGAAGATTATTGCTTTCATATGTCTAGGGCAGATTTACTTTTTACTTGGGGAATTTTTTTTTCCTTCCTTGTGTAGGTGAAGAACTTGTGCTTTCCTCTTAGTAGCTGACATGTTAAGTCAGATGGGAAGCTGCTTTGGTACGTGCAGTCCTTTGGGCTGAAGATGTGCTGTATCTATGACACAGATTTCTACCTTTTCAGCCAAAGAACAAATGCTCTTGTTCCACCATTTATTGCTGTCCTGACAAATGGAAGAGCAGATCGCTCTCCTGACTGAGGAGATCTCCCCAGAAGTCAAGAACCTGTAGTTCAGGACTGTAGAAGCAAATTTTCCTCCATTTTCAGAACTATACAAGTAAATTAGCTCCACTCTGTCAGGTTATAATATAGGTAAATGTGGAAGATAGTGTAAATAGAACTGGATCACAAGAATCAGACTTTTCCCACGTGTTTTATTTGATAAAGGCAGATGGAGATGAGCGACTTCGTTCCAAGTGGTTATTTATAATACTGTGTGTTACAGTACATTAAAATGCTACAATGCATTAAGAACGCCTTAAGAAAGTCATTAATAAAGGCTGTGTAGGCGTCAGTGGAAGGGGAGTAAGCACAAAGACTGGGATTTTCTAAATTTTAACCCTGGCTCTGTCAGTGCCTTATGACATTCTTTGGGGCGGGCTGGTGAGGTTTCAGCCTTCAGAAGCAGCCAGTCTCTCGTGCACCCTGGCTTTCCAGGTTTGTAACGTGGGAGAGTTGAGTCCCAGCTCTGCCAAGTGTCACCAGCTGCAGTCTCTGTGAGAGCGCTACATCTCTGAAAGAGAAGACTGTGGATTTAGACACCAAAACCCCCAAATTCTCAAAGTTTGGGATTATTTGACAATTTGGGCATAGGCCTTTGTATTCTTGACTCTTGTGTTCTTAAAATGTATTACTTTTTTGAGTGCTTGGGTGTTCCTTTCTCAGAGCTGATAACCTGTAGATTCTACCTGCACGTACTTAAAGTAATTCTCATTGTTTTGGTTTTTTTTTATTAAGCTCTTAAAGTAAGCACTGCTCTCAAAATGATACCAAAGGAATTTCAGCACTTGACTGTGAAAACAGGTAAGAAAAAAAATTGACGTGTTACTTCCATTAGAATTTTGATCAAATATTTTTATATCACAGTAAGCCTAAATTAATGTAATTTGATTAATTTTTTTAAGATCCTTTTGCTCATACTATTTTACTACTGAAATTAGCTTTTACCTCATAATGACTACTACTTGCAAAATTAATCTTAATTAGTACTTAAGGTTGTCAGAAGGTTTTCTTGCTTTCTTTCCCTTGTTAGTGTATATGCATTATTCATGTGTGGGAAATGTTTTTAATGTAGCATTTTGTAAGGCGTCTGAATTTTGTTTTTCTGTACTACAAACAAGATGCCAGAGCATATACATGATACTGTACCTCTTGATAAAAGCTCTTCTCAAGTGTGGAATAAGTATTGAGTAACTATATTGAAATGGCCTGCTTCTTTGTAAAAACTGAGCTTTCATATTTTTTGTCAAGGAGCTTAAGGGTAGGTAGCCTTTTGGAAACACAGACGTTGTGGCACTTACAGCACTGATGTAAGCTTTTGATTTGGGGGGCATTCCTTTGTTGAAACCATCCCTGATTTTTCCCTCTCTGATTCCAATATACATTCCTTGTTCCTATCATACTGGAAAATGTTACTTCTGGAACGGCATGTGTCAAAATTGCATAGTTGTTTCAGAAACTTCCCATGCATTCAGTTGAGTTCATGAGACCTCCCCTGCCTTCCTCTTTGTTAATCTCTTTCCTAGAGTGGTTAAGAGTTAAGAACCTCCCTGGTTCCAGTCAAGCTAAAATCTGGACTTGCTTTCTTTTCCTTTTGCATAAATGTTTTTACTTGTGAAGATATTCTTGATTAAGAAAACTGACCCCACATGTCTGTCGCAGCAGTTTTGTCTTATAGCTCAATTTTTTCATGGCTGCTCAACAGCTGCATGCCTCGTTTCCCAACTCTTTTTTTCCTGGCTTCTTCCCAAACACTTGGCAGCTGCCAGATTTCCTATCTTCAGCTCCTATTCTCAGATGATTGCTGCTTCTCCATCACACACACACATGTTCTCTTACACTTCCCTCTCAGGGGGAGAGGAGGGTGCTTGCAAGACTTTCAGTTCTGTTCTCCTCCCCTCCGGTTTTGCCCAGGAGCGCCCCAGGGAGTTTTATTTTCAGTTCAGCAATTCCATCTTCGGTGTGCAGGTGACGGTAGGCTTTTTCCTAAGCATATCTCCTTTGCCAGCAACCTCTTTTCCCCATGTCCTTCATCTCCTAGTCAGGGAGGGCTTCCCAATGCAGCTGTGCTCCTCCAGCAGCATTGCTGTGTTTCTGTACCAAGGGAGGCGGTGGCAGAGTTTCACCCCATTGTCATGACTCCTGTCACTGCTGGGGTTTCACCCTTGCTGTCCTGCACATTGAGGGTTTGAGTGAGCACATTCTGAGGTTGCATGATATGATTGATGTCAGAAGTAAAGATGTTTATCAATCCAGTGGGCTAGATACAGCACAGTAATTGAGCAGTTATTTCAGAATCAGTCACTGTTCTGAAAGGTCATTGTAATCATTAACCTTCAGGATGAAAACTCAGTTGGGATGAAGTAGGAGAAATTCTGCATCCTTTTTTGGTTATTCATTTGGGCTGTTTGTGTAAATTCAGGAAAGATGCTGCTGCTGTGCTTCGTTATGGGAAAGTTTTCTTTGCTGTCAGAAGGACTAGGAACTTGAAATAGGTAAAAACTTTATATGCTTGGCATCTCTGAATATCTGGCCAGTTTATTGAGGCTCCTAAGTGCAAGATCATTGTTGGCCTTAGACTTTTAAAGGATTGAGGCCCAAATTTGCGGGCCACCATTAAGAGATGAGTCAGTGGGGGTGATTTAGACTAGTGGGGAATTCCTTGGGTTTTTTTCTTTAGCTATGTGGCATACTTGCACCCTTTATGGTACAATTTTCCACCCAATCTTCAGCCTGTAAAGCGAGTGTAGGGTATTAGGCTACAGCCAAAAGTTACTGAATCAACATCCTTTGGAATGTTAAAATTAAGTTTTATTGGAAGAGTGCATGGGAGCAGTTGAACACCCAAACCGGGAACCTTCACGTTCTCCTGTGAATGAATAAATAAGAGTCCACAATCGTATATGACTTTAGTGCAAACCAAGCTGTTCAGTTCATCAGGCTCTACTACTCCAAGAATTGTACAAACTTTTAAATAATAAATGTCATTAATTTACTCAACAGCTTTAACTTTTTATCAGTTTCACGTTAAGTTAGGCTTATGTATCCATAGCAATAGAAATATGGAAAACTCATGAACTGGATAAATAGTTTTATATTATCTTGAATGATTATGTTGTGTATGTGTATAAACCTGCACCTCAAACACAAAGTACACAGAGACTGAGCGTACCAAAATAACTGCACGTTATATGGAAATGCTGCCAGAATTATTTGCATGTCCTAATAATGAACTACCTGCTTTATAATATTTTTTATATTATACTAGTTCTTTTGAAAGGTAAAGCTAAGTCTGGGTATTGTGTAATTGTAGCCTTGAATTTCCTGATTTTTCAAAAGCTTAAAAGAAAATCCTTGGCAGTAGTGTTCTATTGCTATAATTTTTTATTAGTAGTCATTTTGGGATTCTGTCTTCTTTGTGTGCTTTCCTGTTTACCTCAACAAGATGTCCTCAGAGAGTTTGAATGTCAGTTTTACCTGCAGGTTTTTAGATGAAAGGCTTTTGAAAAGAAGTATGAACAGAATTACGGTCTCCATAAAAGAAGGAAAATTTGAAGGTTCTTAAACGTGGCTTAGCTTGGAAAGGATTTATACTTCCTATTTCTATGTGGCATATATTTAATAATTGTGCATGTAATTTAATAATCAGCAATTTCAGCATTGGAAAAATTAGGTCATATGGCTGTAGGGAAGCAGTGCCTGAAGTTGTATTCTCTGGGAGTTTGACACAGAAAGAGAGGAGGATTATTGCCACTGCATATTTTAATAATAATTCCCTCTCTCTCCTTTAGTTGCTAGGAAGAATTTGTTGCACAGAAATCTGGGATGACTGTGAGCCAGTTTGGTGGTGACAATAATCTACTAGAACTTGGTTTATAAGTAGTCGTTTGTGTCACTGCCAGCTGTATTTGGGTTTATTCCATCCAAAGCATCAACTAGCACTGTGTGACCCTAAAAACACTTTCTTTTACGAAGAAACAGTGTGTGGCTATACATGTGCCATATGCTGCTACTTGTCTTCTGTAAGCCTAAGCTTCCTATGGAGGGTCTATGCAGTAGAACAATGCAAGCCATTAAAAAGACAGAATTTTCCAGCTGCTACCACAGAGCTCCTGCTCTGTGTTTTGGAGGATCTGTCAGGAGTGCAGTATAGTAACTGGTGATAAATGTCTGACTTGGAAGTAGGCATATATCTGAAGGAAGCTAGAAACCCTGAGAATTCCCCCCCCACCCCCCAACTTACTTGCTTCTCCTAAGTGTTGTACCTTGATTAGCAGAATAATGGGAAAAGTACAAGGATTCACTTTGTGTGTGCATTGGGATCATTGATGCTGCTGTAATACCTTGAGGATATCTCAGTGGGCTGAATTTGAAAGCAATCACACAGATATGTTTTCTCAAAATTATCTGATGTTAGTAAGGAGAGTAGCAGAAAAGTCACAAAAAGACTATGTAAACCAAGGAACAGCCTCAAGGAATTACCCAGAGAAGATAAGTCAGCACTGTTGTTTTCCTATCACATAAAACCTGCATGTGGCACGATATTTGGCATTTACCCAAATAAAAGAAACCGATTTTTACACTGATAGAAATGTGTTTGATCAACACAGCCTGTAAACTTTCTACCTTCAAATATCTTTCCTTCCCAATGTCAAAGTAGTCTCAACCTGATGTGTTAATTTTTTTTTTTATGTGTGGTAAGAAGATGGAAGTTTGTACTAATTAGTTAAAGTATTTAGGAAGGACATAAACCTTTGTGCTTTGGGAAGCAGGACGACCAATAGATATCTGGACTAGGAGTAAGATGTTTTCTGTGGAAAGTTTATGCTATTCCTTATGTTGTTTTGTCGCAACTACATCCAGGAGTACAGGTCAGAGCTGTCAAACCTATTGCTTTTCCTGCGTTCTGGTAACCAAACTAAAAGGTGAAGCTCTGACTACAAGTGGGCTTTTGAATTCTTAGGACATTCACACTACAAAAACAAAGGGGAAGGAGAAGTGAAAATCAATCCCCATTTCTCATGCGAGATGAGCACACGCTCACATCCACACTTGCAACACTCACATTTTTAACGAACACTGATTCTGCAGCTAAAGGCATTTACTTAAAATATGATGTTTTAGCGGTTCTTTTTTCTTTTCTGTTCCAGCTGCTCAGGAATCTAATGCACTTAAAGCCAGACCACGATCCAGGTACTGCTTTCATTTCTGTTTCAGAAGACCTATGTTCCTCTGGTGTTAGACATAAGGCATAAGAACTAGTGTTGCATTTTTATTTTCTTTTTAATTGGTGTTGTGCTGGAAGTACAGCTCAGATCAGACAGATTTACCAGGAGGGATCTGTAAGCTATAGACCCTACATAAGTACTGCCTTAGGGCCCTGTGATCTCTGGTCATAAGGCGCTGCGACTTTTGCCTGTCTGCCCAGCCCCTCTGCCTTGTCAGGGAGGTGACTGCCTCCAGCCCAGCCCCAGGGGTGTCGTGGTGGGACAGGGGGGACCACCCCATTGTGGGGAACATTCTCAGCAATTTTGTGCTGTTGAAACCTGCACAGTGGTTGCATATGGAGGGAGAGACTCCACGCTCCCGCAGAAACAGCAGTAGTAGCTCAGCTTTCAGATATGGGTGAGTGAATCCTTATGTTGGCATGCGTGTATTTGACTATGGCTGGGCGGTGCGTGATGGAAGGACTTAAGGACTTACACTGCTGTGCACTAGAAATGACACTGGCTGAATTTGGATGTTTGAAAGAAGAGGGAAGCCTGTGCCAGAAAACATCATGTATAAATGGATTACGTGTTGGGTTTGGCTGTTCACCATTGTGGTGTATAGCCATATTGTGCATTGCCCTTCAAACTGGGTTTTTTTGGTGCTAGCTAGAGGGCTTCTGATTTTTTTCTTAAGTAATGAGAGCACAATCAGGAGCTCCCTCCTTACAGGCTTGTCAAAGCCTGCTAATAAAAGAGAATTGGCTATAAGCATGATGAATGAAGATCGAAATCCTCTGTTCTTAAGACCTACATCCAGGAAGGCTGAACTGCCTTGTATGCTATTTTTAAGCTGCTAGCCAAAGCTTTTCACTTTTCACACTGTTTTAAATTTTCTTGCTATGTTACTGAATTACAAATATGCAAAAAATGTGTAAAAAGTATTTTATGCAAAAATGCATAAAATAGCAAATACTTAAGTTTGAAAAAAGTCACTTGAATGTGACCGCTGTGTCACATATGACTGTCTCACATCTGACTTTATGTCACTACTTCAATGCAGAAGTTGAGACTAAAGATTCCTGAGCGCATCCTTCAACTTGGACCTTCTGCTGCGCTTGTTCTGTGTAGCCTGGAGGGCTCTGTAACCTCGAGGGTCTCTGTCTTCAGGTGTGCCTGACCACCAGAGGCTATGATTTGAGTCTGTTACAGCTCTGGACCCTGCCTTTCTAGCCTAAGCTGTGCAAATTCTTAGCTGCTGACCCTTAACTATTGTTTAGGTGCCAGGTCCGCCTGCTGCAAGCGACGATTCACTGTCACGGGGCTCTGTGTTGGCACTGCTGGGGCAGGCATATTTTTGCCTGGTAGCTGCTATCTTACTCAATCTTTAAAAAAAAAATTAAAAGTCTCAAAATGTTAGGTTGAACAATTTTAATGCAAGTAAAATATACACTGCATAATATGGAAAGTAAAAGTATAAAACCTTAAGATCCTGATTCAGAACTTTCCCATTTATTTCAAGGGGGTTGGGTTAGGTCTGATATGATAAGCCTATGGAATTCAAAACTCTACCAAGACAGAAAATACAGCATCAGCAGAGGTTTTTGTGTCACATGTAAATTTTGAAGCAATTATGGCTTTCAGTCCTATATTTATTAAAGTTTATATCAGAAACATAGGATGAGCATTGCCAAATGTCTATCCCACTAAAGAGCTGTTTTCTAACAACAACCTGTTTGGCAAAAAATGAGCCATTTCCCATTAGTGGGAGTTATTTCTGCTTTAATTGAATGTGTTTTTGGTCTTGCCTGTCATGCATAATGTGTTACAGTAAGTGTAACATCTCACGTTGTCAGTGCTCATTTTGAACAAAGCTCTCGGTCTTGCAGAAAAACTGGTAACTACAACAGCTGAAAAATATTGGACACTACTCAGCAAAATCAAAATTCTTAGCAAAATGCACCACATTGGGATTAATGTGATGTGGAAGGGTCTGGAAAGCCGTGTATTTGACCAGTTTTAGTCACTTCGGAGCCATGCAGTTTTTCTGGATTTTGTGGAATTTGGCGACTGTTTGCTATGAAAAATTTATTCTAATGGTTAGACTATTATAAATTACAAAATGTGTACTTGCAAGAGGTAGGTTGAAGCTATACCTGTACAAACACTACCCTTGCAGTTGGGAAAGGAAACAGAAACTGTAAGGGGTAGGATGGGAGGTGTGGAATTTTACTCAGGTTTATTCAAAATAGTTGCTACAATTATCCTGCTGACAGTTCAAGTTAGGTAAGAAGGCCTGAAGCTGTGATATAAAAGGCCTTAAAAAATACTAGCCCTGTAAGCATGACTCGTTCCTTTCTCCAGGCACACAGGTCCCTCTGTTGCCAAATAAATCTATCTTGTCCTAAGGGGGAGCATAGTCATTAGAGCAAGGAATTTCCACCATGAACCTGAGTTCTGATCAGTGTATTTTTAGGTACTATTCACTGTAGTTGTTCAAAATTAATTTCTGAAATAAAATATTTTCTGCTCCCTCCCCCCGTCCCGTTTTTCCTTAGGTCTTATTCTAGCACATCAATAGAAGATGCCATGAAAAAGGGAGAAGAACCCCCTACTCCACCTCCAAGGCCACAGAAATCACATTCCAGAGCTTCCTCTTTGGATCTGAACAAAATATTTCAACAAAACACACAAGGTAAAGTTTGCTTTCTTTCCGTCTTTGAGACCATTTAGGTTAGGTGCATACTTGGCAACTTGATCTGTTTGTACAAATGCTTGACAATATGTGCATATGCTTGCCTTTGCTATAGACAGTAATACAGTACAGAACAGAAGAAGTTGCACTTTCTTGCATTACATTGCCACTGCGGGGAAAAATCAATGTTGCTATAATTAAGGTGATTATAACGTTTTCTGGCATGATAATGGGAAGCTTAACATATGGTAGTCTGTCATCACTGACTGTTTATAACTAGTCTGAATGTTTAGACAATTCTCATCAGTAACTTCAATATATTTGATTTTTATTACTATTTATTTTTTGTAGTTCAGAAGCAGAAAGAAAACCCTTAATGTTTAAACTGGGAGAAAGTGAAATTTCTCGCGTGCAAACTTTTGTGATGTTGAAGTCTTCTATAGGCATGGGGGCAATCAGAAACCATTCTTTGAGTCGAAAGAAAGGGTCATTTCTTTTGGCACAGGTACATGTTGAAGGGAGAGAAAGAAAATGTAGAATAGTAACTGGAGTGAACTGAAAGAAAACCGCTCTCCAGCGCGTTAATGTTTGAACGGTCCTTTTGCCTTGCACAGTGAGTGGTGGAAAGAGGAGCTTTTTGTTCAGGGCAGCAGTCACCCAGCATCGCTGTGCTTTAGCAGTGTCCTTGAACCAGACCCGAGCTTTATGTGGTGCACACCAATCATCTGATTCAAGGACTAGGTTAAACATGGTCATGTTTATGCTTCAGAAGAAAACCAAGGTTTGACTGTGTCAAGGAATGTTTTAACTGGGGTCTCTTATGTGGTTGTTAGAGTAGAAAAGAAAGTGTTTCACCTCTTGCTATGTGGGACTTTTTTTTGTGCAAACACCAGACAGAATTCAAGAGTCCTGCTTTCCCCCCCCCCGCCTTAAACAGAGAAGCAATTCCTGATCTTTGGCTGTGGTTCCTGTTCAGGGATCTGTTGCCTCCAATTTTGATTTCATTATACATCAAAATAAAACCGCAAACAGAGCCAAGCGCACATTTTCTAAGGCAGCAAATCCTCTCAGAATCCAGATAAAAAGTATAACTGGAAGGAACTAAACTTAGATTTAAGTTTCTCTTGGAACATAAATGAAAGGAGAATGTAAATTCTCAAAGAAGTCATTCTGTGAATGAAAAGTAACATCTTGCTTTTGAAACGGATCATTTTGAAAGTCACCATTACTTTTGAAGTAACATAATGATTTCTTCTGGGCAACTTAACAAACTGACTTTTACAGTGAGTGCAGGAAAGGATAACTCGTCCTCCAAACTTCTTGGAGGGTTTTCTCACTGGCAATGGGTCAATTAAGTAAGGGTAGGCAATTGATTGCTTGCAAAGAAAGCAAGTGCTCTGGTCACCCTAAAACTGTTCATCATATTTGGTTCAAATTCATGGCTATTTATAGTTGAAACAAAAATTGGCTCTAGGTTGGCAAAACGTGAAGTATAGTGTGCTACCAAATTGCAGAAATGTGGAAGGTCTCCCAGAGGTTCAGCTTCCTCCTGTACCTGCAGGGTGTTGAACTGTCATTTTTTGGTCTCTTGAATGTTCCCTGATGGCAATGCTAACTATTTGTGGCAGTCATCTTCCTTTAATGCAGCTGCTCTATTTTGTGTCAAAAATGTAAATACTCATTGGGAAAGAATAAGGAGGAATTTGTAGCCTTGAAGAATTCAAGGAAGGACTTGTTAAACAATTTGTAGCCCACCCAGAAGAAGGGTTCCATTTCAAATGAATCTGCATCATCAGAAGGAGGGGATTAAATCAACCCATCCCAGCACACCCAAGTACCATGGTGCATTTACCTTGCTCTGCTTTGAAGTAAAATGTCTGCATTGGAAGTCATATTTTCAGTTCTTCATTCTATAAAGAAACACATGCACACCCTCCCTGTCATTAAGCCCCAAACAGTTGTTATTCTGCAACATCCTATTGATAATCCAATTTTATACAGCTGTGTTCTTTTCTTCCACTTCTCTTGTTTTGATCACCTCACTTTTTTTCATCCTTTTTTCATCCTTTTCCCTACTGATCTTGCTTCTTAGTAGAAATTCCAGTCTCATTATTTTCAGAAACCTTTTTCATCTAGAGACAGTTCTTCCTCAGGGATTGGTCATTGTTTCGGTCAAACTTTTTACTGAGGTGCACTTTCTAAAAACACGATTTGTAGGAAGACAGAGGGATTGAGCGCTGTCACCTTAAACCAAAGAGCCTTACCAAAAAGAATGCGTGTTCATGTTTGTGTGAAGTAAATTGCACACAGTTGTATAATAACAAGCTGTATTCTTATTTCTGCTGACAGTATAAAAAAATAAGAAAAATTAAGTTGAATAGTTTTCATCTGCTATCAGATGATACAGATTTACAATATAAATAATGTGGTGGCAATGTACTATCTAGGTTTCTTGGCTATTGGGATAATACAGCCTGGCATAAATATCAAACCTGACGTGTTTCTACCCACAGGTCAGTTGATTACTTTCTGTCCTAATGTACTCTCAACTGAATCTTTGCTTTACATTTTCTCCCTGCTTTCCTTCCTTCCTTCCTTCCTAGGTTTTCAAAAATAGTCTCATTGTCACAGCTGAACCACAAAAATTAGCTAGAATGACCATCCCTTCTAGCACCACCATATTGCTTAGTGTCAGTACAGAAAACCAGACTGTAAAATTGACCATTTTAATAGCTTTCAGGGTATATCCAACATGATTAGAATAATCCCATTTCAGTACACTAGTTTTTGTCCTACTAATTCTTGTTCAGAAATAATCCTGATTTGGGGAGTTTGCTAGATAATCTGCTCCCACACCTGCAAAGAAGTGTTCAGTAGTATTGAGTTTTATTTTCAGTTCCTTGTTGGTTATGTTGATCTATAGGTATCACTTCTTTAATTGTAAAGCCACCAGTGCATTTTTCTAATTGGAGCATTTTTTTGTTTATTTCATTTTTAAAGGACAGGAAAAGAAAAATCTCTTTTCTTCAGGTAAATTCAGCCAAAGACTGTGGCAGATCCTTGTTGCAGGCACTTTTTTGTGGGGGTGTTTTTGTTTGTTTTTCATTTACTGCTGCTATATCATGTTTGCCACCATCTTATGATGCCCCTCTCCTGGCAAGTATACACAGAGAACATTTACCTGCGATGGCTGGGATGTCCAACAATGTACTAGCCACAGAAACTGTGCTTTAAAATTGTTGAACTGGGACATAACTGCACTTGAAGGAGGCACCTTCATTCATACTCCATAGCTGCACTCTTCCGAGATGCTGTTAACTAGTGTTACCCAGGAAAAACATAAAAAACCCAAGGCAACTTAATGAAAGGCCCCACCTTCTGAAGTGTCAGTATGTGAATTTCTGTTAAGAGATGTTAAGAGACGGAAATCTCTTTTTTTTTTTAATCATGTAGTCTTTACATTAGCATCTGAGAAAAATTCAGTACTGCTGGATTCTCAATGTATTTCTTTTCGTTGACTATATAATCTCTGGCATTTGGCCTATGTACATATTAAGAAAATATTTGGCTGGGTTTTATGCATTCCTGGAAAGACAACAACACGTTTTAAGTAGAAACAAAAATGTCAGTTTAAATACATACATGACCTGGTTTACATCTTCATTTCTTCTCTAGCCCTCTGTCTAGTCAGGTACAAGCCAAGAGCTCCCAGAGTAAGACCTGGGAGCCTGTGGTCCGCAAAGCTTTCCTGCACTGTTCACAAAGGTCGTCTGCAGATTTAGTTGCTCTCTGGGGCTCCTCATGCTCCCTCCCGTCTGCCCTGTGATCCAGACGAGTGAGCAGGTTGTGAGGGGGCCAAAATTGCCGCAGCTCGGAGCCCGGTGCAGCGTGCCCGGGGGGTCTGCCAGCCAGCTAGGATCCTGCAGCAACGCCTCCAGCCACCTTTTACCCTTGAGAGCAGCAGTAAGCTAGCGTCTGCCTTGGGGTAACTCTGGCTCTGGGGCAAGTCTCAGCTTAAGTATTAAAACCCCAAAATACATCCATTGTCTTCTGGCCTTTCGCTCGGTTATGTTTTCTGCCCATGACAGCTACTGAAGAATTTACTTCTGGGCAATTATAGACAGTGACAGCAGTCTGGGTCTTGTTAGATTGATACAGATGCCTCTGAAATACATTTTATTTCCCATTTAGTTTCATTCCTGAATTGCATAACTTCTTTTAATTAACAGTTCTGTTGAACAAAGGATACTTGTTTGGAAAAGAATCTGCTTTGATGAAAAAACAAAATTGTCATAAACAGTGTAGTTTCATGTTGATATGGAAGCAGATTGAATATCTCTGTGTAATTCATCAAAACAGCCATATAACTATTTACAAATGAATTTTTCACTGAAGGCTTTCAGCACTCATTTGCTTTTGAAACTCGCCTCCTGCTGCGGCTGTCCCTGCAGTGAAGAACGCGTGGAATGCAGGCACCATTTCTTACGTCGGCTTGTAAGCAAATACTCACTGTAACCTGGATTTGCTCCTTTGGTGGTGCCGGTGTCAGCCAGCAATGTGGGGCTAGTATCTTTTTGGGTTTTTCTCCCTTTTAAAATGTGAGGTGTTAAGTACCACACTTGGTAAGGCGGAAACACAACTAGCATTTTATTGTAAGTGCAGTGTTTTCCGTTACGGATGATGTTTTCCTAACTACAGTCAGATATGAAACCTCTGCTTAGCTCTGCTGGGCTAGTGATGGCTGCCGGATGAGAAAATGTCCCCTCTGCTCTAAATGTAATGTTCACAGAAAAGGAACAAGGGCACAGATTTATTGGTGTGCATCAGTATTACCGTAAGTGATATAAATGTGTCCCCGCATCACTTCTGTATTCCTTCATATACATGTTTCCCGCGCAGTTTATGGTAGTACTTTTATCATAAGACTCAGTCAATACAAACTTCTTTCTTCACCCTTTCATTTTCGTTAGTGCTAGAGGAAGACTGGTGTTCAGCGTCAC